CCATGGCCTGACTTTGACCTGCCATAGGCCAGCGACCATACAAGGTACATCTAATTTTTTCATGCTTAACGATCCGCTATTCAATTTTGCTACAGCTTTACAAAATGTGGCATGGCTGCACCGCGCCGTTCGGAAGCCATTCTGGAAGAACCTTCGGAGAGGGTCACTTTGACCCCCCCGCCACCCGAGCCCGTGTTAAGGGGAATGTCCTACTTTTGAAGAAATTTAAGTAAGTATCAAATACGATGTAGTAAGCTCACGTATAAGCTAGTACGCTTTGGGTGGAAAAGGCTGCCCTAGACAACATAATTTCTCTGTTTAGTAAATATGCTCCTCAATGCGTCATTGTTTGAATACGCTATCATACCTTCCAGAATATTGATTGAGACCCAGTTGAAAGCCGTTGTATCTGTAAGTCGTGCTCACGAACGCCAGATATAAACGACCCAACTATTCTTCTTTTTTTGCTTTGATCGCCAAATGGCCAATGGAATGGCATGATTTAAATGACGTTATTATGGCGTCATGAATGCCTGGCTGGCCTTGAAATAGTCTTCCCGAAATAACCTGCACACAGTCGCGGGCGGGCGGGAGCTCAGAAACTAAACGGGTTTACTTCTGAGTAAGGGCAGAGCTGTGAGCTGCACCAAATGATCTTCCACGTGACTATTTCATTTCAAATATGTATACAAATGTGGAAAATTTCCTTCAAGTTATTCCATCGCAGTTTTATTTCCGTCATAGCTCGTACCACTGCCTAGCCTCCCGTATTATGCGGCATAAAAAGGATTCATGTTTATGCTTGCCATGACCGCAAGGCATTAGTTGAGGGCCAACTGAAGTTGCTAGAAATGGTGCTGACGCACGCCAGTTCCGGATAACTCGATGATCATACTTTTCCTTGACCTTGAACACCACATGGCCAATGGGGTGGCAGTGTCGGGTGACGTTACTATGGCGTCATGCATGCCTGGATGACCGTAAAGTATTCTGCACGAAATGGTCTGCGCAGGTTTGCTGGCGTCGTGCTCAGAAACCAGAGGGAGGTTTGAATCTTTAAAAGAGCATGGCTGTGAAGTGCGTTGAATGGTCTTGATAATGGTTATTTCTGTTCAGAACCCTATACGGATGTGAAAACTGTAAACACCCTCTTTAAAACAACAAGTGAAAAGCTAAACGACTAAAAAAGCTCTCGGTACCTAAGTCCTCAACATTTGTTCGCAACGTCAAATGATAGCTTGAAAGACTTGCCTTTTATTGGCAACCCTTTAGTCGAAGTCATGCCTGTCACATTTTGCGTTCCGCCGCATGACAAGGTAGGCTTTTTCACTGCATCTCATGAAGCTCAAGGTAATGCAAACAGTTACAAACAGTATATATTTAGCTATGTCAGGTCATTTAAAACCCCGTTTGTTCAAATGTGCCACATAGACTAAGCCAAACAGAAATCTTATACGGACGGTATGCACCGCTGACCCATGTATGATGCAACATCTCAATCGCTACCCAGATCTGTTTGTTTTGTCGTCGTATCATGCTTAGTTCCTGCGATAACGAGATCGGTCTTCAAACACAAAATGTAATCTACATGAACTGATCTGGCATATCACCGAACACACCACTTGAAGGGTTTCTGCCTCTCAATGGCTTGCTGTGACAAAGGCTATGTATACTGCACTTCCCACTATGCATGGGTGCACAGATCAGAAGGAAGAAAATGGCTCAAGCTTTGATTGATCAAGTAATGGATTATGATTTAAAAGTTCCTAGAGTCAGTTAGACATTTGATTTACCGAGAGGTGCCGGTTAACCGACATTGTAAAGCTAGGTACCGGCTATATTGACGCTACTCAATATTTTGAGCTGAGATCATCCTCAATAGTAGATGACCTCTTGTCTAGAGAGCATGATGCTCAAAACGGGGTAAACTCAAGAGAGGATGATGCTCATCTACTAACGTCCCATCGTTGTTCAGCACAACAACATCCTGGCACATTAAAGGTCGTTTAATTAACTTAAAAATTTTGAACTCATGAGGCCGAAAACCAGGAGCTGAATTCCTCTCTTTGTTTTAGCAGGTAAATGATTGATTTATTACACATTGACATTTATTGACTGGCTAAAGAGTATATTTCTCTAGCATCTTTCGAGGTGGCCTGGTGAGAAAACAAAGCGAGTCCGAGGGCTGGGAAAGGTGGGAAAAATGTTCTTTCAATAAAGGATAGTCTGCGCAGGGGCGAAATTTTTAAAATGAAATGGTGAGTTTGCTCAGGAAAGCATTGCTAAAATAAACGTGAGCCGAAACAAACTAAAAAATGGGTGTTTGTTTTCACGAATTTGGCCCACCTTTTCAAAACTGCAGGGCCAAAACTCTCCAAATAGATAAGGCAACTACACCACTGTAGCTGTGCATGAGGTGTCTTGCTTTACTGCCCGACATCGCTATAACGTATTGAGCTCAAAGCAAAATATCCCGCAGTTTTGGCAACGAAAGGCTGTGACCTGTTCAGGATGACCTGAACCTGTCCTTCAGGACCTGTCCTTTTGGGAACAGATTCCTCGTCTGCAGATTTGACCCCATTACGGCTGTTGTATTTCTTCCCCGAAAGAAAGACTCCTTCGACTCTTTCAGCTCACTGATGATGAGTGCTTAACATGGGTGTGCACAGGGTTTTGTGTTGGAGGGGTCTTAAAGAAAGTTTTTCACTGAAAACCAAGTTAAGCATGCCGAAGAGACGCGAAATTTATTGCATGACGTCATACAACCTCGAGTGCTCTTGATCTACTCATTTGCACGTGTCTTCTCCAAATGGTTTTAATGTTAGCATTTAGTCGCGCTCATATTGATGCATACCAGGAATTGACCAGGCAGAGGCACATGCCCCAGGGTTCATTATGCGAGTACGTCCCTGGTGCTCACTGAGCTCCATCCTCTTTGCCCTTAAGAAAATCCTGGCTGCCGCGCTGTAAACACTCGCACGCAACAAACGCAGTAAGCCTTGAAAACGTGCACCTTGTCCGTGCACTGAGCAATACGTGCATGCATGAACCCCGCTTTCCAAAGCAAATAATTACCTTCGTGATCAGCTCTTCAGGAAAAGGTTTTCCATTCCACTTGGCCACGTTTCTTAGCACCTCCTCGGCCTTGTCATTCCGGCCGACTGCCATCAGCCACCGTGGTGACTCGGGAAGAAAGCTGAAACGTCCCGTTTTATCAGTCAGCTTAGGCATAATCGATTTCGTTGCCGAAAACTGAGACTGTGTGCTGGTACCTTGAGGCTGAGTCCGAGTCTGTCGCATGCTTTTGAATCGCACGAGTTTAGCTTTGAGCCGTGATGACGACGTGCAGTTCGTACCTGAGTCGCAGCTAGTTCAGAAGTGCACTAATCTGGGCCCTGGTCTGAGTACTGGTGTCTTGACTATGAGTCCAATGAGCCCAGAGATCTGAAAGCACACTGGAAACTCTTACTTTAAGAGGTGTATTCTTGGCGCGGGTATTGCATTCAAAGAATGTGGCGTTACTCACTTGCATCTCTAACTGATTTTTGCAAATGCCGCTCTTAAAGGCAAAACAATTTAAAACTGAACCGACAAACCATCAGAGCTAAAAAAGCAAATAACGTAATCGACTTGGCCATTGTGTAATTTGGCCATAAGGTAATCAACGTGATCGACTTGGCCATAAGATAATCAACAGGCCGTTGTGTTGATTGCCTTATGATTTTCAATTTGAATCACTCAAGGACTGCGTTTCCAGACCTCGTTAAAGAGCCTGAACGTGACTGAGACTGAGAGGCTAAGCGAGCGATCTTAACTCACATGCGTGGAAAGTGGCGGCATTTGCTCCTGATCGTGAGACAATTTTTTTCCAGTGGCCAGTCTTCATACTGCAACATTTCTGCGACGACGTGCTACATACTGTGGCGTTTTGGTTTGGCCGTGGATCCCATGAAATCTGGTGCTCACTAACGCCATTTAAGTCGGTGGAGCATTGGAGTAATGCTTTAAACGTTATGCCGTAGTAACCCGAAAAGAAGAACATGACAATTTTACATTTCTGCTGCTCTGCACTCTTAAGGGCGAACAAAAGCCGGATCATTGAAGCATCCATTTTTGGCTTGGTATGGAAAACTTCTGTCAATTTTGCCTTTACGCTCGATCTCTTCGACTCGCCCCGGACTGCTCTCCGGCGCCATCCTCGCCAGACCGGGGGTAAGTTGTGTCTCACCCCGATCCCTAGCCACCCGCGCACAGAACGGACAACAGTCACAGGAAGCTTTTTCCGGAAGATGATGATAGGATCCAACGTGCTCGATTTCATATCAAATCTGAGGCCATATACCCAATGAAATGGCAAAATAAATCGATGAGTATCCAGATAAAAGTCCTGAAAATATATTAGATAACTATGAGTGACGCAGTGAGAAGAAATGGCAGGACTACTAAACATCTCTTTTCATCATGGACGAGTCCGTCCACATTAGCGGCGATTTTAACAGTCATAATCTTTAGATTGTTGCCTGCGAAGACCAGGATATGGACTGATTCATCCAGGCCGAAAATTCGGTTACGTTACTCTGCACACGCCCATTGCCCGGCAATGATTTGCGCTTACGTTGCCGCGAATGACGTCTAGAACCGGTTCTCATCTGTGTACGTGTAAGTTCGGTTTAACAGAAATGCCTACAGCCCGACTTTGCCCATCTCTCTAGCGCTGGTAGAAACATGAGTGGGCGATAGCAATATCTTACAACCAATAGGAGCAGAAGAGTACAATTGGCGCCGAGTAGATCAGCTGCAGCGATCTCCAATCCTTGACGAAGATGGGGAACACCCCAGTCAGCGCTTCTCCGACGGCGAAGAAAGCATTAATGAAGATGCCACAGAACGCACGGGCCTCGATGGAAGTCAGCTCCATACCTGTGGGACACGCAAACGGCTGTGAAACGGTCGCACTACGCGCATGGTACTAACCAACTGGCATTAAATGTTTAACAGAAACAACGGCCAGCAAACAACTTAGCCGTCGTCGTTGCGTGCCAAAGACGGGGCCGTTCAATACGCGCCGACGTCCAAGTACCCCCGAAAAGTTTCATTGCATACAAGCAGCACGTATAATCCCGGAGAATCTATTTAATTCTGCATGACAGATCTCCGGTATTTCTGGAGTGTTCATCAAACCTGGTACTTAATGGTGGTAGAAAAGGGACCCTGGGGTCATTGATTGGTCTGCCAGATGACCAGACCAGATTCAAGCCGGTCAGGTATCTTTTTCGCCATATCAGGTATGCGTGACAAGACATAAGCTTTCACTTCGGTGGTGCTGCAGCTACTTAACTAGATTATAATGCGATTCAAATTGCATATAAGTCTGTACAATGAGAGGTTTTAACTCGCGCTCGGGTGGGGGTCAAATTGCCCCCCAAAGGTTTGTTCCGGAATGTTTTCCGAGTTTTGCCATATTTTGCATAGCTGCACTTTGTCCAAATTTTGCATAGGTGTGGGCAATTGAATAGCAGATGGTCTGGCATCAAACATTTAGACGTACCTTGTAAGGTCGCTGACCTACGGCAGGTTAACATCAGGCCATGGTTTCAGGGAAGGTGATTTCCAGGGAATCGTTCAATCTGATCCAACAACGGATGGTTAGACGAAGCCATACCCCTCTGAAATACTTTCTTAGGTAACAAAACAATTGAGTGAACAAATTACGTCGACCTTTGGTCAGGTATAAAGGTCAGATCAAAGTCAAAATCAACCTGATTCATTTCTCTTGGGCTTGTTGTATGGGGTAGTTTCTGGTGCTATTTCAGATTTATTGACAAAAGAAACCGCATAATACACCTTCAGTGGACTTTTTAAAGATCAGAATAGGTCACTGACCTAAAATGACACAGTTCATCGTTTTGTTTTTAAGAGCAAACTGCCTAGCGTCATCTTTATCCTTTTTCCAAATGCAAAACTCAAAGAGGTCTTGCATGATATTGGTCACCATGACCTTCAAAAGGACAAACGAGGCCACTGACCCTAGATGGGCGTGTGCCTTTGTGCTTAGAACAGTTATCTAGGTTCCAGGAGCCCTTTGGGGACCAACCTTGAGTTTGACCTGGTTTGACGTTAGTTGGCACAAAGGTCATAACTTAGGAACCTCAAACTTTGACCTAAGTGATTTCACGTACAGGTTAACACACCCTGTAGATTTGATGTCACTAGCTCTTTTAGTTCCTGAGATCTCAGAGGGGGGAGGGGTCAAATTGACCCTCACCCGAGCGAAGGGTGTCCAACCGGCCACCCGAGCGCATTTTAACTAGACGTATATATTTAATAGACGTATGCATAATCAAATGGCCTATTTCCTATCGAGCGTAAATGTACAAATCGTCGTTTTGCCACCTAGTTTTGCAGGCTTTACCTTCAAAATAGCTTCACCAAAGAAAGAAGATTGATAATTGGGAGCCGGGAAACCACTCAACGTACAGGAACGTAAAAGGTAAAGAACTAAAACACTTGGTCTGATGCACCCCCTCCCTCGGCAAAATTCTGACGACGCCTTTGCGCTTGTGCGTTAACCTGTGCGGGATCCTGCGATGTTAACGAGCTCCGCTCCCTGCCTTCTGAATGTACGCGTCGATCAGTTTGCTTGGATCCATCGCAACAGACCCTCCAGCGAGGAACTTTCCAGGCAGTAAACATGAGGCGTCCCAGCCCGCAGCAAACTCGATGCTTCAGCCAGGCACCGGGGAGGGGGGGGGGGGGAGTGGATCGGCCTGCGCGGCACGCACATATGTAACCTCCCCCCCCCCCCTCGCGCTGTCCCAGCCGGTTAGCACACTCAACGCTTCAGTCAGGCCTCGGGCCTGCGCAGCACCCACACCAGCACGAACGGCACGCTGAAGAAGCCGCAGACGACGGCTGCGGCGAAAACGCAGACCGGATGTAGACGCCGTAGTTGGGCGCGAAGGCCGCGGCCGTGCCCACGGTGGCGGTGAGGACGACGCCTGGCCATCAGCGTCACCACCCGGCCCCCCACCTGTAAGGGACGGCGCCCTGGACACAACCTGACACAACACACCCGGCCCCACCTGTAAGGGACGGCGCCTCTGATACAACCGTGCACGCCTGGGTCACGCGGAATGCTAGTGGGACGTGACATGCATGTTGTAGCAACGTGATGCAGTTTGCTGCAGTTTGTTGTTTCTTAAAAGATGTTTATCCTAGCCTTTCGAATGGGTGGATTTCTGCGCTCAGGGCTCACTTTAAGCAGTGCTTGTGTGAACCCTGACATCTTACCATTCGATCGTGCAATACAGGTAGCGGCAGAGTTCGGCCAGAGTTTGGTGACGATGAGCTTAACGCGCACACAATGTTTGGCATCGGTCCGTTTCGCCCTCCGATATCCTCTGACCTTTTTCGCGGCCGCTACCACCCAGCCGCAAAGCCATATCCGTCAAGAGCAGAGAGCGAACGCCTAAAGAGACTCGAACTCACCCCTCCACGGTGTGTGGATGTGAAGGCGGGGCACTGACCAACGGAGCCATCGGGACAGACAGTTTCAGTTCTGTGTTGACGTTCCGGACGAACGAAAAGCAGAGCGGTCAAAGAAGGCGGCCGATCTGAAACTGCGAGGCGTTTGAGCAAATCAGTCCCGTTTTTCTGTGAACAAAAAAATTAAACAAAAGCTATATTGTCATTGCCGAAAGCCAACGATGTCCACACCACTGAAGCAAAAAGGCCCCAATCGGGCTCCAATCAGCCCTGCCTCACGCCACCGGCCGTGTGGGTTGTGCTTACCTGTCAGCGATGAATCCCGTCAGTATGGACCCGCACAGCCACACCAACGAAAAAGAGGCTGGCGCCGAGCGGCCGCAGAGGCCCGCTGTCGCATACGAGGTCAAACTGCGCGAGAGAACACCTTGTCATGCGGTGCTACAACGAACATTGCATGTGCCCTGTCGCTGCGATAACAGGTGGCTTTCTATTGTGATCTCCGCAATTTCCCCTATGATGGCCACACGGAAGACACGCTGCTGACTGATGACGGTATGCAGGCGACAGCGTTTTTCTCATCGCTTAATAACAGGCATGGCTACAAATACACGCCACACACTCGCCCTTCCCTCATGTCTTCAGAACTAGCGCATTGTTTTGAAATTAACGCATTTATATTGAAGGCGGCCTTCTTGTTGCTGTAATACTGGTATGACATTTGACATGACATCATCCGATTTCTGCAACATTGCGCTTTACTTCAAAAACATTGCTCATCTCACGCATGCTTGACACAAGTTGTTGTGGCATGTCAATCCACCTTTAGAAGAAAGGGAAATGAATTTGGCGACTAGTTATAACCCTACTGTCAAAAGATTAAATGAACGTGATGGAATATTTCATTGGAAATCCAAGGTGTCGAAAAAATGTGTGCGTGTCCAATTATCATTTCATATGTTAGGGCATCCTTTAATATACTTTCGAGAGGAGCCTGAGCCCCATTTCCAACTCTGACTTCAACTCCTCCCCTCCTCAGTGATACTTTGAGTCTCCTTAATGCATGTCAGGAAAATGAGAATACTCGGCCAAAGAAATGAAGAAAATTTATCTTTTATCTGTTTGTCATCACTACTGTTCATTTGGACTAAATGGTACTTCGTAGGCACATGACGCCTTTGTCATGCTTAATGTTCGATAAGTTAGGTCAGTCTACAAACACTCGACAAGTTTTTACAGGATGACACCTGGATTACGATCCAGAACAAGTGACTGACATATGCAGATGGCTTTTAAAAGTACGAGGAGGCCCAGAAAAGAGTTAACCCATGCTTCCCTCAACAGTGACAAGTGTATGTGTTCCAAAATCGTGGGTGTTGTGGCATTCGACTGCTAGTTCAGTGGCAAAACACATGCGATGCACACATAACGATAGCGAGACAACGAATAGCGACCACAAAGGACACCATTTTTAACAAACTGGGAAGCAACATATTTGCATGCTTAACATGCATATATATATATATATATATATATATATATATATATATATATATATATCGCGTCAGACTTCGCTAATCTTCATAAATCAGTCTTGTTTCGCTCTGGGCCATCTTCGATGAACGGGGAACGACGCCTTTTTTCGTCGATCACAAGAGTTTGAAATAATCAGAAATTTGTGTTCTGTGACTCACAAACTATTTTAAGCATTCACTTCAAGCATCTTCACATTGCATTGAAATGGGAAGTTATCGCTACGCAGCAAACAAAGGAGAGGGAATTGACGAAATGTATAAATTTTTACCGGAATTTGAACATCGGGAGTACGCAGAGAGAACGCAACTAGAGTACCCGAAACCAAAGGAAAAATGAGGTTTTGAGGGCAGTTAAGGTCAACCCTATCGACTAAGCCCCCACCCCCCAACCGGTTTCAGAAAGTTAAACTCCTGGCACACGTGCACTGATGTACACGGAAGTGTGCCATCCACGACGCCCGTGCACAGGTACGTGCATCTGGTCTTTGCATGTATGCATGAGCAAGAATCCAGCCTGACGCAACCGATATCGTCATCAAGCAGCCTTTAACCTCAACATGGGACATCGGCAGAAGTACTCTAAACAGAATATAGTCTGTGGCCAGCTAAGTCCAGCGTGGCTGTCATTCCTGAGCCAAATGTTGTTAGACCACGAACTGAGCCAGTGCGGCGTGGCAGAAAGAAGGGGCAGAGGGAGCAAGAGCGCGTCTTTGCCCGCTCAGAAGTCTAGCAGTTCCCTCGTGCTAAGCCTGAAGGTTCTGGATCTTCACGCACGCTATCAATACTAAAATCAAAGATGCTCCCGTAAGTGAGCCAGTGGTAAATACTAAATTGGGTAAAACTGTCCTTTGCTAAGCCAGCGTATAAAAATCGCGTTTCCAGCACAGCTTTGGCAAGAATGGTTCGTGCGGGAAATCGAAAAATTGTTTGTCCAACGCACTTTAATGAGGGCACGATATTGACAGTACCTCCAGTGCTTCAATCCCTCGGTGCCTACTCGCCTCTGAGACGATGGTGCTC